CTCCTCCTCGATCTGCGCCGCTTTGTCTCTCTCGCAAATCTCGTAAGCTTCTTCGATTACCTAATCCTAATGCTTTTTTCGTTCTACTAAACAAGAAATATTGACCTAGATTAGGACATGGGAACGATCTTTAAAGTCTCCAGATTGCGATTTCCAGAGTTTCTGTATTGTTACTATAGTACATGCGACACTTTTAGTTAAGAGTGTCTGAAAAAAAATGGAGTTTTTGAAGTATTTGTGAGTTATGCCCTTTTGATTCAACAAGTAATAAGCCTGATTCAACAACAAAATCGCAATAGGTAATTTCATTCTATTTTCCGATATCATCTGAGATTTCCGACAGTTGAATAAAGATGTCGCTGGGCACAAATTGCTGATCACTTGTTCGATGTAATTACTCAAAGAGCTGAACATTGTCTCTCTGTTAATGGGTTTTGAAGGGTTTTAATTTAAGCTTCGATTCTTAGTGTGCTAAGTACTGACAGTGACAATATGATTTCGATTTTCATTACAATCTTGATTTGTAAACTGTTTAGTTGTAAACTGTGTCCTGGATAATTAGTGAGATACTTGATTTTGGGAACAAACAATCCTCTGATGTTGATGTTGATCTTCCCATTGAATTTTCAGGAGCTCTGCCTCGTAGTGTTCTCTTCCCATTAACGTTTTCGTTTGGTTGGTGGAAGCAAATTCAAGAAAACATTTCTGTACCTCAATGAAAATGTATGTCCTTTTATATATATATATTTCATGGCTGTTTTCTGGTTGGTTCCTTCTCTATTATGTAATCAAATTCCGACATGGTTTAATGCAGAGTAAAGGGAAACGCAGGTGCACTTACCAATTTCGAAGTGCTTGACTTCCTAAACTCAAGAGGTGCATCAAARGATACTACAAGAGTTATAGCTCCAATTGCTAGATCAGAATACAAGGTCTCTTACCCTGAAATCTCTGTTTGTGACTTGCCTTGTTTAGTGAAAGTTGAATGCTTTTGGTGCTAATTCGAATGATCTTTTCAGGTCTATGATTATTTGGTGGAGACTGCTGCTTGCACTCAAACACGAGAGTGCGTTAACAAATTCGCCGAMAAGTGTAARGGTTTCAAAGTCGYGAAAGCTGAGATTCTCAATATCATCAATCTTCGGCCATCTTCTATTGTYGAATTAATGCCGGTTTGTGGTTTTCTTTTGTCGTTCTATCTTCACTATACAAATCTCATGATCTATCATTGCGTTTAACCTTTGTTGATTGCTTCTCTCTTGTTTCTCTCTTSTAGATCATAGAGAAGCCTGATGATCGGGAAATCGACTCAGATGGGATACTAGAGCTAGTGCASGAGTTGCTACCGCCTCTTCCTACKTCYGAAAWCCCTAAAGAAGATGACCAAGAGGAAACAGAGAACGGTGAACAATCGTAACATGCAATGCAGCTGAAGTTTTGATTCACATTTTAGTTATATAGAAAATGTATTCATATTACATGAYGAAAACATTAGTTAAGTCGTTATAATACTTTGAAAGTTATTTTTCT